CCCAAGATGTGGTAGCCTACCTCTTTGTATTATCGGTTTGTGGGTCTGGATTCAAGGTTTTTGAAGTGCCAGAAAATATATCTTAAAACAAAATTAGATTGCTAATTCGATTAATTTTTCAAAAGTAACACTTTTTCAGTGTTTTCTCTCCTTTAAAACAATCCTCCTGCAATTTTATTAGCACATACCTTCATGTTTTGGTATCAAGCAGTGGTAGAAAAACAATAGCCCTGATTTTCCCATGGTTTAGTTCCCATGCTTTTTTGACATGAGAAATTTCTGTTAGTATTTCTTGCTGGAGCCATCTATTTATTGTTCCTTTTTAAAAAAGGAACTGAGTCTGATGGCATTCCTGCCATACTCGTGGTCTTAGGGTCATGTGTTTCTAAGCATTCCATATTTGCCGAAAATATGTATAAGGTTGAAAACACTATAGAACCAGTCCTTTAGTAATAGTTTGTTATATGGATGTATGGTTTCCACTTGTTATCCATAGTGCATATGGGTCCATGTACATATGTACACATTTTCAATAAGTAATTTTTGTGTTGATCCTTATTTTCTGGGTTTTAAACATAATAACTTATTTCCAAAGGAAGGCAAGTAGAGGGTTCTGTTTGCAGACAAGTGTTCCTTTAATATGGAAGAATAAATTTCATTGGAGAATTCCAAGTCACTCCTTTGATTAAATATTTTCCTATTATGGAAAAGCTTAGGGCAATGCAGGAGCTGTATTACATGATCATTTTACAGAGAAGCCTTAGGACTTAGACTAACTTCTAGTGGTATTGCCATAAGATCTTATAGCTTTATAAATGGAAGCTCTGTGGGCTTGTTTCTGTGAGGGAGATGTTATTGGAGGTGGAGGATGATGGGAATGGTTAGTGTAATAGGAATATCTGATTCCAACTGGAGCCCATATGGCGTATTTCTTTGTGGTAAGATATATTTTCTCTGAAGTGCATTTTCAAGATCTTTATTTTACTTGTCTGCTGTATGAGATATCAATATTTTATTTTCAATTCAGTTTTATTAAAAATGCAGTTCTATATTTTCTCTTCCGTTAAAACATTTTAGGGAAAAAAACACTGCCAGAACCATGCATTTGTGTGAAGGCTAAGTATTTGGGAGGGATTGTAGTTATAAATTTTATTTGAGAACAACATATTAGTGCTTCTTTAATAGTATGCGTAAATATTTCCGTGGGGGGAAATTTATTCTAAATACACTTAGTAATTGTAGTTTTGTGTGTTATTTTACCAGTGCAAATCCAAACGTAAATCTTTTCTTTTATTTGTGACTATTTTGATAGATTGTCCAATTCTAATATTGTGTAGATATGAATTTATATGTGTAACATACACAGAGGCAGGGCTCAGATCTGGTTTTCCATCACTTGGACTAGCATACAGCCCCTTCTTCCTTCTTAGTCTTGATTCCATATTCCACCTTTCACATCTAATGCCTTCCTTCATTCTCCCATGCCCTTGTTTTCTTTTTTCCTGTCCTTCATCACTCAACTCAGGACTTCTTCACCGTCATCCCCTTGGGATCTCTTAGCCTATTGCGACAGTGGTAACATCCAGTGGCACTAGGTTCTTCTGGGAGCAGCAGGAGCTTACCATTCTGTGGCACTGGAGTGACTCAGACGTGGGTAGTGGTTAGCTGTGAAGGAGGATGGTGAGTTAAGGTTCTGTGACCTGTTTTTCTCTATTGCTGAATGAGGGGAAAGTTTAGGCTTGCAAAAGCAAAGGGAAGGGAATGAGTCAAAGAGTAGGGTGTTTGTCTTTCCTTTAATGAAGGACAAGAAAAGCCAGAAGCAGATCTGACTGCCCAGTGTGAAACGCTGTCTTCCTTGGCCCTGTATGCTCATGTAAGTTTGTGGCAGAGTGTAAGAATGAACAAGTGAACGTGAACATAGGTTATGTATTTTGTAGTATGTACTGTACTAGTATTTTACTGTGTGAGGTCTGTACTATTACAATCTCCATTTTTACACACAAAGAGAGGGAGCAAGAGAGGGGGGAGGGAGAGAGAGAGAGAGAGAGACAGCCTGAGTTTAGAGTAATCCTTAGAGCTCAGTTAATCCTATGTCACATGGTTAGCAAAATATGAACTCATGTGCTGAGCTATGGTCACTGATATGTTCTTACTTTCTGTGTAGACATTGGGCAAAGCATTGAACTAGTTTGTAGCTCTGTTTCCACATCTGTAAAATAGATAAAAACTGCTTTGTAGTAATGAGTTTTGAAGGTTCCTCCTAAGTCTTGACGTACTGCTGGTGCTCAGTAAACAGTAGCAGTTATTTTTCCTTCAGGGTAGTGAAAGCCATCAAGGAACTATCCTCCCCACACAACTGAAGACAACTGTGTTTAGTGTTTCCTAGTGAGAGGAAGATAAGAGACATTCAGGGCACTAACTCTTTTTTTCCTCTCCATTCTTCCCCACACCACACATATACTTTCCCATTTTCTCACTGAAAAGTAGACTTCCTTTTCAAGAGAAAACGTCTTACAACTCTTAACTGTACATAGAAAGGGGTAATTGGCCAACATGGTGGTATCCCAGGGACATGCAGAAGGAGAAGGCTCACAGCTCTGGCCAGGCTGGTCATAAAGTGAGACTGTACCTCAAAAATAACCATTGCTGCTGGGTATGGTGGCTTATGCCTGTAATCCTAGCTACTTAGGAATACTTAGGAAGTTGAGACCTGAGGATCATGGTTTGAAGCCAGCTTGGGCAAGCTGAGATTCTTGTTTCCAGTTAACTATCCCCCACCCCACCCCAAAGTGGAGCTATTGCTCAAGTGGTAGATCACTAAACTTGAGCATAAAAGCTCAGGGACACCACCCAGGTCCTGAGTTTATGCCCCAGGACTTGCACACATACAAAAAACCAACCCCCGCCCCAAAACACCCCCCCCAAAAAAACCCCAAATTCCCCCAAACCCAGTACAGAAAGGGGCTAGAGGCATGACTTAGTTGGTAGAGCACTTGACTAGCAAGCAGGAGGCCTTCTGTTACAACCTCATTTAAAAAAAAATTTAAAAAAAAAAGGTGGGAATGGGTTATAATGCAGTTATCTCTGGAAGCAAGTTTTAGTTCAAATACTTAGGTCTTTCCTCTCTCAGTTAATGGAGAGACTCTGTAAAGATATTAGTTTCTTTAAGAGCATACGGTTGATCAAGTTCACCATAATTTTAGCATCAGTAAGCAGAATTGAACTCAGGGGTAGTTCCTAATTGGGTAGCCACATTTGCAACTTCAAGAAGACCAGAATGTAGAGTGGGCTTTTTTTTTGGTTGTTGTTGTTGTTGTTAAATCATAGAACTGCAACTTAGTCTTTGAAAAATTACAGCTCAAAGGGGAAACATTTGCTTGTGTTTAGTTTGATTTATGCTGAACTTGACCCAAGAGCCTCCTGAGACTGCTTCCTTCATACGCGTTGTGCATTTATGAAATACACATACTTGATGCTGCCAAGTGACACGTGCTAGATAAACCAGTGACAGGGCATTGCTACTGCTGTGAACAAATGCAGGTTATCTAGACTTGGAAATGCAGTAGAAGATGGACTGTGCAAATAATAAGTGACCTCGGACTTCCTCTTGTCTCTCACAATTCATCACAATGCTGCATACTACCTGGTTAAGAGACAAGAAGCATTCATCCTTCTGATGAGCAAATGGTATTAGGAAGGGATTGTGGTGGTAAATGAAGCTTAGAGAGTCTATTCACTGAGGTAATTGGATCTTGGGACCTAGTATTCTGGGAGCCAAAGGAGTAAGAAATGTTTATCTGTTGTAAAATTGCCTTTGATGTGATTACTCCCTGCATTAATACTTTTAGGTAATTAATGTATTAATTACATAATATTTAATCTGTATTAATATCTTTATGTAACCTTTATGGCCTGAGAGTATTTAAGTTACTTCTTTTGGGTGCTTTTAGAACAAATGCCATAGGTTTCAGTGTTTCTATTTTAAGGCTACTTCATGAGAGGATGTTGAGGTAATTTAGCTACAGTTCTATTTCTGGCTAATTTTATTTTTATACTTGCCCTTCTTGAACCAAAATAAAATCTAGCCTAAATTATTGTGTTTATGCTTTCTTTCATTATCTGGACTCCAGATTTATTTGCTCATTTTGATAGGGAATAGATAATCCCTTTAAGTCTTAAAGACTTAACTCTTCAAAGTAAGATTAGACTTAAAAATATTGTTCACATGCAGTGAGATCTAAATTAGATAATTTCTTCTGATTCATACTTGTTTCATATTTCTAAGTATCTATGAAGATTGTATAATTTCCTGCCTATTTTAATATTATGTTTGCTGCTTTTGGGTCATTGAAATATATACATACAGGATTTGAAGCAGCTCAAACTAAGTAATGGTAACGAGGATTTTGACTGAGTGAAAGAATGTAGATTGAGGACTGTAAGACACAAGTAAAGACTGGTAGTCTTAAATACAAGAAGTTTCTTCCCTTGCTGCTGAAGACCTGACCCAGGAAGCAAATCGAGTATGAAAGATATTTGGCTACTATCTTCAGTCTCCACCACAGGATAGGAATTGGGCTGCACAGCAAGGACTGTTCAGTAGACCTTCCTTTGTGTGTTTAAACAAAAACACAGCTGCTTCAAAGTTTTTAAAGAATTATTTCTAGAAGAGTATTAAAAACCCCATTTTCTTCTGTTAAAATGAGAAGTTTCCTTGGTGATGTCTCTGCCCCATTCAGAGCAATCTCATCGGGAGATTGTTATAAATGGGAGAAAGGGAGAAATTATCAGGGTGCCTTTTGCAGAAAATTTCTTCAGCTTTATTTTTTTAGCAGAGTAAGAATTTAAGAAAACACACAAGCATCATTTGAACATGTTAAGCCAGGTAATTTTGCATTACCCTGTTTATGAATATAATTTCCTTCTAGTATGAGGAAGTGTGATTTTTGTCTGCATTCTTTATTCTTTGTTCTTTTCCTAATAAAGTGTGCTTCTTACAGCTGAAAGATGGGGGCAAGGCATCCCAGGCCAATGTGAGAATAGGCGACGTTGTCCTCAGCATCGATGGGATCAGTGCGCACGGAATGACTCATCTTGAAGCACAGAACAAGATTAAGGCTTGTACAGGCTCTTTGAATATGACTCTGCAAAGGTACATTGTTTTCTATTCAGTTCCCAAAGAGAAAAGAACACTGAAGTATGTGCTTCTATGTGTCTTGAGTCCTGATGTTAACTGCACCATGGTTTCTAGTAGATAAATAAAATGGGTAGTGGTTCTTTGAAAAATTTGAAAATTGCTGGGAGATATTGTGAATTTTCCCCCCACAAAAGCATGTATTTATGTGCTTATAAAAATTGTGTGTACTGTTTCTGAGAATTCAAGAATTCTTGAAATGTCTCAGTGGAATGAAAGCTAAGAATTCTTACTATGGAATAAAATTCCTGGCCTTCATATTTTTAGAGCTATTTCAGAAGGCATTCTTTTAGGGTGTGGTTTGTGTTTCTTTAGTTTATCTTTTCCCTTCTTTTTTTTTTGGTAATAAAATGATTTTTACTATAGTCATTGAAGGCTGGATTTAAATTTTGTGTGTGTGTGCTGGTCCTGGGGCTTGAACTCAGGGTCTGGGTACTGTCCCTGAGCTTTGTGCTCAAGGCACTCTACCACTTGGGCCATATCTCCATTTCTGGCTTTTTGGTGGTTAACTAGAGATAACAGTCTCATGGACTTTCCTGCTTGGGCTAGCTTTGAACCACAAACCTTAGATCTCAGCTTCCTGAGTAGCTAGGATTACAAGAGTGAGCCACTAGTACCTGGCCTTTTCTTTTCTTCTCTGTTTTAATCTAGCCTTCTTATTGATTGTTAGAAGTCAGCTATTTTGAGCATCTCAACAGTTGACTTTCATTGACATTTTTTAATCATCATTCAGAAAGAATATTATGTATTTTGCAAGGAAATCAGTAGACTTAGAAAAATTATGGTAAATGAAGTCATGCTCAGAGAGACAAACTGCACATTTTCTTTCATATGTGGAAGTTAGATCTAAAATACAAGCATACATGAAAATATATACACAGACAAATGGACTAAAGGATGATATACTTAGGTGAGAAGTAGTGGTGTAGCTTTTCTGAACAACCAATGAACCATTTAGCAAAATGAATAGCAAGCTGAAACATACTCTGTTCTGGGGGCAGTATAGAGAGGAGGGGGCATACCAGTGGAGAAATGATGAGAAAATGCAGTCATTATTATCAATGTACATCACATAAAAGTTGAACTATGTAACTCGAGGTAGGGATGAGACAGGGAAAGATGGAGAACAATGAAAGGGTTGACAGCGATGAAGATAAATTTGTACTTATGGACAGATTCATGGAATTGAAATCCTTCTTAACTACCTAATAAAATGAAAAAGAAATAATTACCATGCTGATAAGAATTTCTGAAGAATCAGTAATTATATTTGATTAAATTTCCTGAGATATTAATGAATTACGATGTTAGAATCGTCTCTGGCTTAGCTTTAAGGACAGTGAAAGAGAATGGAAAAAGAATGAACGAGAGCTCTGAATCTTTAAGTTTATAAGAAAGGTAGCTTCATCAGTTAGTAGGTAATTATGAAAGGTTTTGAACAAGTGTGGTTTTTAAAAAATTTTTTGTGCTCATACTAGGGCTTGAACTCCGGGCCTCATGCTCTTGCTTAGCCAACGCTGGCACGCTCTCATTGAACTGCTTCTTTTGGTATTTTGCTGACTGATTGGACAGAACAGTCTTGAGGATCTGTCTAGTTAGGATGGCTTGAGATAGTGATCCTCAAGACTTCAGCCTCCTGAGTAGCTAGGGTTATAAGTGTGAGTCAACAGAAATGATCTGTATTCCACCAAATCTAGAAAATACAGCTACCTCTTAAAACATCTCATAGTCTCCATAAATTACCATGCATAAGTATATAAAATAGTTTGTGTCTTCCTAATGTGTTTCAGGCTAGCTTTGAACCTTGATTTTCCTGAGCTCAGTCTCTCATTGCACTTGATTTTTTAAATTTAATTTGATTTTTTTTTATTGTGAAAATACTGTACAGAGGAGTTACAATTACATGGGCAAGATAATGAGTACATTTCTTATCAAGCATTGTAGCCTCCTCCTTTGTTTCCCCTTCCCATCCCATCCCTTCCCATCCTCTCCCTGCCCCCCCACCCAATCCTCCCCACTTCCCCTCCTCACCCCCCCGCCCCCCGCACCAAAGTTGTAAAGTAAAGTTCGTTTTCGACATAACAACTTGTATATCTCATTGTTGCAATGGGTCCACCTGTATCCCTATGCACCTGATTTTTTTCTTGCTATTGTTTCTAACATACTTATTTTATTTTATTTTTTTGTGAACATACTGTACAGAGGGGTTACAATTACATGGGCAAGATAATGAGTACATTTCTTATCAAGCATTGCATGCAGCCTCCTCCTTTGTTTACCCTTCACATCCCTTCCCAGCCTTCCCCCGCCCCCCCCCACCAGTTTTTTTTTTTTTTAAGTGAAAGAAATCTCTATCAGTGAAACCACCGAGTCAATAATTATATATATTTTAAATTTTGGTATGTACTGGATATAAATCTTAATATATAAAAATAGTCAATGGAATTAAATAATGTGTAACTTTCAGTACATCCTTCTGCTCTCTATATTGACTCTTGTAACATAACAGTTACTATTAACTAAGTGAAGCAGGTCTGGGAAGGTGGCTCAGTGGTAGAGTGCTTGCCTTGCGTGCATGAGCCCTCGGTTCTATTCCTCAGCACCACATAAGCAGAAAAAGCCAGAAGTGGCATTGTGGCTCCATGGTAGAGTACTAGCTTGAGCTGAAGAGCTGAAGGCAGCTCCCAGGCCCAGAGTTCAGGCCACACGACCGACCGCCCCCCCCCAAAAAAAAAATCCAAAAAAATTAAGTGAAGCTCTCCATTTTTGTTAATAGGCATTTTTGCCAAGTATGAATTTTGAAGCTAAGCTTATAAGAAGCTTACCTTGTCTTAGATATAAAGAAAACAATTTAAGTATTGATAATGTTGGGCTGTGTTTCACATTCTAAGACTGAAAGTTTATATAATGGCATACGCTCTTTCTTGGACAAGGCAGCATTTGTTTCATCTCTTCGCCTGCTTGTTTTCACATTGTCCTTCGTCTTTTCTAACCCCAAACCTAGTATCTAATTTTCTATTGAAAACCCTAGGTCTCATAGGAATAGATGAAAACCAGATGTTATTACCCTGTTTGGATGCATTTCTAACTCAAACAGTCTGCTACTGACTCTAATAAAGATTTTTTTAAAACTACTTACTATAAAATCTAACATGACCAACTTACAAAATCAACCTCTTATAAATACTTCAAAATTATTACCGTACCTTCATATTCAGGGCCCCATAATATGAGGGAGATTTTTTTTTAAGAGTTTTGTTATTCTCTTCATGTATTTGAACAATGCTTGGCTTATTAGGTTCTATCAGCCTTTTTTTTTTTTTTTTGGTAATGTGTGGATTTTAAAAAATTCATTGTATCTATCACATTGAAAATGCGACTAAATAAATATTTTTTCTTTTTAAGGAAAAAAATACAACAATGATTATTTCCTATATTCAGGCCAATCTTTTCTAGATTTCTCTCTTTTTCTCACATCCAGAAGACATTTATGAATTTGATCTGTATCCTTAATTGGCTCTCAGTCATTTCTTTATCCCAGTACTCACCAGCCAATCTGTTCTGTATTCTTCTTCCAAAATGGCTTACTTCCAACACAGCTTTCTCTATGCAGCCCTTTTCTTCATAAACATGTTTTCTTTTTTCATGAATATGTGGCATTTTCCAAAAGCAGAAGGGATTTCATGAAGGGTCTTTTTTCAATTGTTGATTGTAGGAAAGTGAGTGGAACAGGATGGGAAAGTAGTAGAAACTGAGATGGATAAAGATGTGAGTTCAGGGAATACCTAGTCTGTCCTGATTCAGCAGGGAATTGCACCCTCGAGTGTCTTGCCTTGAAGTAAGATAGGTTTTTGCTGGTGATAGGCATCCAGTGGTACTGGGTGGGGGGCAGAGGAGCTCTGTTGTTTCCATGGAATGAATTATAAGCAGCACTGTAGGAAGCACAGTGAGGGATGGGTATACCAATATGTAGACAGGTTCCTGAAGATTCAGACAGGGCGCCAACAGCATGATCTTGAGATTTCATCCAGATCTGAGTCCCCGGAAGACTTAGGTTCTTGGTAACCTGGTTCTTATCAGGCTTATCCTCTCCAGATCACCATTATGCATCACTGAATCCCCTTCTTTTCATTGAAGATCGGTTTCTCACTGGCCCTCACACACCTTTGTGTGCTCTCACAAAATGTGCTTCAGCTGTTGACCGCCGTTGGCTGCCATCAGGGCCACGAATCCCACCTGGAACCTCATCTCCTGCCTATAGCGTCTTTCTACTGCTGTAGTTCATGTGTTTTCACTCCTTTGAACTAAATGGAACAGAGTTTGCCATTCACTTCAACATTTAATTATATACTAGGTGTAACCAGAAGAAACAAGATTGATTCTGTGAGTCATGAACAAATTAACCTAATTAGTTAATAGTCGTAACTAGTGCTGCCTATGTTATTAGTTAATTACTGTCTGTGTGTATTCTGTTTCTCTAACTAGACTTTTTGAAAGCAAAATCCATACTTTCTTCAATATTTGTAGTTGGTAGAATTATTAGAAGGGTGTGGAGGAAGAGGGCCATCAAACATTGGAAAGACAAGCCAGAGGGGGTAGACCATACTTCTCAGTCGTACTATTAAGGACACTGCCTTTTGTGTCTAGCAACATAGAAACACAAAATTATTATTATTGCTGCCCAACCTTACCCTACATGGGGATTGGAAAAATGTAAGAGGCGCACACCTGCCAACCCCTTCTAGTATAGGGGTTTGACTTCGTGGCTTCATGATTGTTTGGTTTGCTTGCTATGTTGGTATTCTACCACTTGAACCACACCACCAGCCTAGTTTGGAGATTAACCCTCACAGACTGTCCAGGTTGATCTCAAACCACGGTAATCTAGATCTCAGCCTCTTGAGTAGCTAGGATTATAGGTTTAAGATACCAGTACCCAGCTGAGAAAACCATGCTGT